CGCCGAGGGGCCCCCCAAAAAAACACAGAAGGGGGGGGGGGGGGAGGGGGGGGGGGGCGCGCGGAGGGGGAAGGGTGCGGCGGGGGGGGGGGGGGGGGGGGCACGACTGCGACCCGACGACCTCGTCCCGGGACAAGATCCCAGGTGCAGGGCAGGTCAACCTCAGACTTATTTCTTCTCAACCAGAGCCTTTTCACCAATCCCACTGCCCCATATGGGGAGAGAAGGCTCCCAACGTTTCCTCGATTTCCCCACGGTGCATTCACAGTCTCTTGAAGTTCCCTTCGCCGTCCAGGGGCTCAATCCCCGAAGTGTCAGAGAACAGGGCCTACTGGCTCCGAACGAGGCAGGGACCCATCACCGCAGCCGCTCCAGCGGGGAGAGACCCGGAGCCCCACGGAGCCCCGAGGGGGCGGGGGCCTTGGGCGGGCTCTGCACGGTTGGGGCGGGGCCGGGACGCCTTCTCTGCACGGCCATTGGCCAAGGGCTCTAGACTGGCGGGCTCACGTCACGGGCCGGGCACACCCCCTTGGCAATGTCTTCAGACTGCTGCACTCCTAACTTAAGCATTTATTCCACTGGGATAGAAGCGGCAGGAGCAGCGCTGGCACCAGCGAACCATGGCTGGGATTTTCTATTTCGTCCTCTTTTCGTTTCTCTTTGGAATTTGCGACGCTGTCACCGGTTCTAGGGTGTACCCCGCGAATGAAGGTAAGAGCCGGACAGCCCTTCTGATGCCCGGGAAGCGGAGGGGACGATCCGATGGTGAATGGTTTTAGGGAGCACCGAGCTAGTCGGGATGGGGATTGGGGGCGGCGTGAGCCTTGCATCCCGACTCCGGCATAGGGTGCTGGGGCAAGGAGAGCCTCGAAGGGGAGACGAAGGACGATCGGGCAGCCTACGCCGAGCGAGTGACCCGTGCGAGCTGCCACTCTGCCCAAGTTTGTAGTGAAAGGCCAAAGTTTATCAGCATCCTCATGCTAGGCGGGCCCCAGGCGCCCCGAGGGGATGCACCGGGCCAAGGTTAGGGTTTGAAAACAAAACAAAAAATGTGTGCGCCAAGTCGTCCCCATCACCAGCCTAGGAGAGAGAACACAAGTCTGCAGCGCAAAGAGGGCTTAGCGCGCCAGGCCTCTTGCCTAAGCCTTGCAAGCTCTCTGGTTTCCGCAAAGTTTCCCGAGTGCTGAGCTTCCCGGGACCCGGCTGCCTGCTGTCCGCAGCTCAGTGGTGGTGGCGCCGCTCGTCGGGCGCCGGTGACCTGATTTCTAGCAACCGGCCTCAGACACCTTTCTTTCTGCCGGGCCTCGCACCCTGAGGTTGCAATCGCAGGCTTAGCCCCCACCCCCACCCCACCTCCCGGAGATCCTCAGGTCACCCAGCCAATCTAGGGGACCAGCCTGGGAGTTAAACATAATTCTACTTTTTGCTTCTATCGCCGAAACACTGTACTGAACTAGCCCACGCATGATACAAGACCCATCCGAGGGCTGGTTTCTGTAGGTCTAGTCAGACGTGTTGGCAGGATTGTATATGCTTGTTTTTCTGTCCGAGGTGAGGGAGAGGTGGTGACCATTTAGTATCTGATGGGCCTAGAAAGAGGCGAGCTGCGTGTGCGGGGTGTGTGTGTGTGTGTCTGTGTGTGTGTGTGTGTGTGTGTGTGTGTGTACGCGCGCGCGCGTAAATGTGTGCCTGTGTGGACCGGGACGATTTGTGCCGGTACCGGAATGCTCGCAGTGTGTGAGCGTGGGCTCCAGCGTACATTCATAACCCAACCTGCGTTCATTAGCCTTGCATCTGTCTGGTTCCCACTCTCCACAAGTATTCATCCACCACCCACCCATCCATCCATCCATCCATCCATCCATCCATCCATCCACCGTCTCACAGGCATCCGTCCATCTCTCTATTCCTGTACAATCCTCTATCATTTTTCTGTTCCGAAGGAGGGAGCCAAAAACCAACTTAGGCTTGTCCAGGCAGCGGGTACCGCGAGCTTTCCCAGCCGAGGCCGGGAGACCGTCCTCGTTCCCGCCCGTGCCCGGGGGCTTGGGGGGGGGGGGGGGGGGGGGGGGCGATGAGAACCGAAGGGCGCTCTGTCGTCCTCTATCTCCTCGTTCATTCCTTCGTGGCCTTGCTTTGCCTTCTCGGCAGCGGCCGCCCCTTAGTCCCTAGGGCCTTTCCTCTGAGCAGAACCCCGTATCCTGCTTTCTCCAGGCTACTTACTTTATACACTTGTTAGGATGTTCCCTAAGGCCTTTCTGGCCCCAAATGTGCACTGTTTTTATTCTTTTTTATCTTTAAAAAAATGTCCCCTTTTTCTTTTGAAAGCAAGACTTTGGAGCCGTAGACAAAAAAATAAAATAAAATAAAATAAAGCGCTCGATGGAATCGTAGGCTAACGTTGAAAGAAGGGGAGGGGGGAGGGGGCTGCACCCACTTGTCCCCTCCTTCCCTTAAAAATTAATTCATTTTGTTGCTTTTTATTCCCATCACGTTCCCTTTTCTCCCTTTTACCCTCCCTTTCTACTCCCTCCCTTTTTTTGTAAATTGGGTCTTATTGTTCCCTTTGTGTTCCTAATCCACCTTACATAAATCCAAGTGGCTGTAGTGGGCTTTTCTCTAGGGACCGGGAAGAGAGAATGAAGCGGGCCGCAGCACCCGGCGGGAGCGACCCGGGGAAGGCTCTACATTTAAAAACAATTAATAGACCCCAGGAATACAGAATCCTTCGGGGAACTAGGGCAAAGGGGCTGGTTTTAACTTCCTTGATTTGAGGGGTGAAATGAGGGTAGGTGGGCAGAATTTCAGGGCCTGGGAGTGAGTTGAGAGTTGGGGTACTCAAGCAGCGAGGACCGAGGCCTCCCATTCCCACCCCTCCCCCAGCCTGACGAGCTAGTCTGGCTGATCAAATTAATAACCCAGTGGTCCCTTTTAGATGGGCCTTTCGACCCCCAGGCCTGAAGATCGTTGTGGGAACGGCATTGTGGAAGGGTTTTGAATTCATAGCATCTCTTTCAATGTCGTCCTAGTCCTAGTCCACCCTGGAAGAGTACCGCCGCTCTGGAGGCGTCTTCCACCTTCCTGTTAAGTTTGGAGACCCGACGTTAGGTGTAGCAAAAGCATACTAAATTCATTAGACTGCAACTGCATACCCCAAATTCAAACCAAGATTTCCTGCGGGTGGGGAGCTGATCTCCATTGTCCTCCCAAAGACCTGGGAAAAGAGTACTTTAATTCATTTGCATGTTAACCCTATCCCTTTGGCTGCCTCTCTTTCTGAGACTTTGATATTTTAAAAAGCAGATGATTGCCACATCCTGGGTCTATTTATTTGATAGTGGAGGGGGAAAAGGTTGGGGTAGAGAGAGCCTTTTCCGTGACCCTTTGGGTCCTCTGATAGCATTCACTTGTGGTCTGTCACCATGCTGGTGAGTTATGTGGTCATCTGAAGCTTGCAAAAACAAATACATCTAGTAGATACCAGACAAAGATGAATGCAGACTTTGCATTGATATATTTATTTTGTTTGAATTGTGCTTGAGATGTTCTATTCATCCTTTAAAAAAAAAAAAAAGAAAAAAGAAAAAAGAATCAATCAGGTCCTGGGATGGAATTTTAAATGCTAAGCAAGTTAAATAAATAAGAACCTGCAGATTTAAAGAGGGGAGAAGATCAAGTGAGGAGTGATTATTTACACAAGTGAGACTAAGTTTGGGTTTTGATCAGATTGGCTATGCATACCCCCAACACATATGGAAATGCTCAGGCAAATGGTTTTGTATTATTGGCTTTTTGCAATTGGAAATTAATCTATTTTCCTTTTTTTTAATTTTATTATTCTTTTTGCAGTTACTTTATTGGATTCCAGATCTGTTCAGGGAGAACTTGGGTGGATAGCCAGCCCTCTGGAAGGAGGGGTAAGTTCTGAGGTGTACTCTGATGCCAGAGGGGCAAAGGAATGATTAGCCACTTTCTAAGAGTCTAATGGCTTGATTCTTGGTGATTGTGGTGAGGGGTCAGATTTCCGCTGTGGCCTATGAAGTGAATTACGCTTTGTTGGAGAAATCCTATACTCCCTTTGGATAGTTCTGTCATGGAAGAACTAGAAACCAAAAGGGCAGAAAGGGGTTTCAAAATTAGGAGATTGGTGGAGGTATAGACTTAGATGTCTATTTAAAACTAAAATACCGACAAGAAATTCGATCTGGGGACCAAATTAGAATTTATGCCTATTACTCTGGTGGTTATGGAGTCTTGATGGGGTTAATTTTAGAGCAGTTGTTCAGCTTCCAGATGAGGAAAGGGAGTAAGAAAGATGGCAGAAAGAAATATTTCTAATTGTACCCACCTAAGCAGCAGGAGTGCTCCTTACTATGCTGTCCCATCCTTAAATTAGCTGCTGGTGTCTTTTGCAGTTTTAAGGGCACTTGTATTAGGAGCCTTCTAAATGCAGAGGAGTTCCAAGCTTTTAGTGTTAAATTTGAAAAGTTTAAGCATTTGGAGTCTGGATCTTTGGGGACTGAGAAGGCTTATTATAAAGTATGAGGGCACGTTCCTCTTTCCTCCTCTGGTGAAGCTGAGGAACTTTCCCTGACCATCTCCCTCACAAGATTCAGAGACTATAGGTAGTCATGTTGTCTTATCCCCTTGAATAGCAAGTCACAATGAATCGGCTACAGAAAGAAGTAAGCACAACATGGGCCAAATTGAAATAACATACATCCTTTAAAATTAAGCAAGCCATCCAGCCCTCATGCTTGATAGTCTATTTATGACTGAGCCGACTGATCACAAACAAGAAGATTAGGAGTCTTGCTAGGCAAACATTGTTAAGACTAATACCCAACATGGTGTTTCACACCCTACAGTTGAATGAAGAATTAAAAAACAAAACAGGCAAGATTCATAGACACTGTTATACAAGATGTGTTTCAGAAATAAGACTGGGTAATTAAATAGTCATAAAAAAATGAGGAATCAAAACAGGTTTTCTGATGCATCCAAAATAAAGTGGAGGTTGCCCTGCCTTCCTGGTTTTCTCTCTGAACTTGACTGCCTGGTGTTAGTGTGATAGTCACCGAAAAATTCCATTCCGTCTCCCAAACCAGTTTTTGTATCTGGGAAGGAGAGTGATTGGCAGGCCTCTGGCAGTGTAGACAGGCGCATTCAGTGCTGACTGCAGGCAATTGCCCTCATCCTTTGAATGTGAAGAAAGGTACAGCTTTATCTCGCTGGGAGTCAGAGTCAGCCTTAATCCTAGACCCTGGATCAAGTCACTGATTCAAGGGAAGCTTTCCCAGGCTTCACCAGGAGGATCCTCCCAGGGCTTCACCAGGAGGATCCTCCCAGGGCTAGAGTGTGTGACAACTGCTGGTCAGGAAAACAGGGCGGAAGAATCTGTGCTTACATTAATAAGTTTAACAAGCCTCATTTCTCTTACTAGCTGCTCTGAGTGTGAAGGGAGAATACAGCTAAGATGATGTTGAACCCAACTTGTTTCATTAAATATACATTTGACCTATATAAAACCAAGGAGTGACACATTTGAGAGTACAGTCTACAGTCTGTCTGGTGTCTGGAAAGCTTTCATTGCAGTTTAATATGCTGTTGACGCCTCTCCTCCCTCCCCCCGTAATATTGCTGAAAGAGCACCTGGTCACATTTTCTGGACACAAAACTTCTTTTAGTTGTCTTGAAGTCTATATGAAAAAAAAAAAGCGCTACATGGCTTACTATATACAGTGCAGAACTTTCTATGGACTCATGTAGGCAGTTTTCCCTTTCCATTAAATATAAGGTGTGAAACATTTTAGCTATTGTAAGAGGTTAGAAATGAAATTTTACAGTATACATCAGAATTAGTCATTTTGCATGAACAAAAGAGGGTAATGGTGAGTGAGAAAGGCAAGATGTTGCATGTTTTCTTTCATATGCAGAATTAGATTTAACTACACACACACCTGTATATATATACATATGTGTGTGACATGAAAGCAGATTGGGCAGTATCAGCAAAGAAGGGCAGTAAAGGATGAAGAAAAGAAAGTATAGTTATACATATGTATGGAAATGGTGAGATGAAACCTATTATTTTATACACTAAAAATTAATGTAAAAGGTCAAAGACATAGTTGCCATTGAGAAATTGGTCAAATTATAGCATTTAATTCATCTTTAGAGTCTATCATCGAAGGTCTTTTCTGGTTTAGAATGAACGTAAATTCTGAGGCTTCCCCCAACTAGAAATAATGGATTGTCTTGACCCAATTTGCCAACAACCACCAAGTAAAATAGGAGGTAGAGTCATAATGGCCTGTCCCCTAGAGCAACCCAGAAGAGCACAGGAATGGTGGCCAGTGAAGACTGACTGCTGGTGGCAGGCAGCAAGTGGCAAGACACATCTTTTTGATGGTGTTTATTTAAAGGTGTACTGAGTTGCTGGTGCTGGTGGTGATTGCTAAGGGAAGATTCCTGACTGATGGGGAGGTGGTCAGTGTGGTTAGACAATCAAGTTAAGATGAAAGCTCACACTAGACCTGAATTATCCTGTATGGGTGCTAGGCCCCTCTGTGCTTTCCCTTAGGTGGAGAAATGGGCTTTCTCCTTTGCTTTGAGATGAGAAGCCTGCTAAGTAGGTCTTTTTGAAGGCAGGGAATCTATTTTTAGGTTTATATGAATTTCCCCCAAATAAGTAAATTACTGATTTATTGCTTACCAGACAAAAAGAAAGTTTAATCACCAGAGGGCACTTACCCTCTCAATACCAACTTTCACAGTGATAGCAGATGAAGGAAATAACAGAATTTTATACATTATGGCCCTTCACAAAGTAACATTTCCATCAATTCATAGTTTTCAGTGCAGTCATGGGGAAGCCTGTTGAAAGATACCTTAGGATCCTACCTACTTCATTGGATTGAACGGGACTATAAGTGGAGCTATTGTGGAATATAAATTTTTAAAAACTATCTTTTCGCCTCTAATTATATTCCTGTGTTAGGTACTTAAGCTGATTTATGCCAGATCCATATCAATCCTGCATTATTTTCAATGTTAATGAAGAATTGGAGGCTGCCAGGCAGCCTAGAAGAAGCTAAGGCTAGGTCCTCACCAAACTGCCTTACTGCTTTCAGGATCGGTTTTTAAACACTAAGGAGCATAATTACCACTTTATTCAAAGAGAATTCCTAGAATGGTGAATGTCCACCATTAGATCTCTATGTTAGGAAGTGAACTGCAAAGAAAGCATTCCTGTTCTCTTTTCATGCTCCTGCTAGGCTTTTCAGTCATAAATACCACTTACTCTCTGACTTTCAGTGGCTCTGACTAATTAGAAGCAAAGCACACATTCTCGTTTACTTATGTGCCTGTGTTTTAAAAATAAGAACAAGTGCAAACTTTTTACTTTGATACATGCCCCCCAAAGTTTTCTAGTATCATTCAGCTGGAGACTGAGAGACCTAACCTGGAAATGTACTGTTTTCCAAGCCTTTCTGAAACCAGGGGGTATGGTTTTCTTTTTCCCTTTACAGAGGACGGATGGTGCCAACAGAAATCAATTGCCATTTTTTTTTTAAGTATTAGAGAGCAAAGTTCTGACAGGAGCGCCGCTAATTAACTGATAACTGTCTTCCTTTGGCAAGCTCTGCTCTTCCTGCCCTTAATTTGCAGGTTTCTGTTTAGTGGTTGAAACAAATACACATCCAGGTTTTTTTCATTTATGAGTAAATCTGAACTGTTGCCACCTGAAATTGTAGCTGTTGTAATAGGTGAACTTGAGGTTGTTAGACCACCACAAGGCCTGCCGAGAGAACACACAGGCAGTAAATCCACATTGCCTATGGATTTTAGATAGAAAAGTGAAACAATGTGGGGGAAAAGAGATATTTCCTCAGTAAAATAGACAAATAGCCCATAGACTGCTTCATTTGTCGGGACTGGTGCACAGTAATTTTCATTATTAAAAGAATAATGAGCTTTCTGTTGATACCTCTTCTTTGAATCTTTGCAGTGGGAGGAAGTGAGCATCATGGATGAAAAAAATACACCGATCCGAACCTACCAGGTATGCAACGTGATGGAAGCCAGCCAGAACAACTGGCTGCGAACTGACTGGATCACCCGAGAAGGGGCACAGAGGGTGTACATTGAGATTAAGTTCACCCTGAGGGACTGCAACAGTCTTCCGGGAGTCATGGGGACTTGTAAGGAGACGTTTAACCTGTACTACTACGAATCAGACAATGACAAGGAACGTTTCATCAGAGAGAGCCAATTCGCCAAGATTGACACCATCGCTGCTGATGAGAGCTTCACCCAAGTGGACATTGGGGACAGAATCATGAAGCTCAACACTGAGATCCGGGATGTGGGGCCGTTGAGCAAGAAGGGGTTTTACCTCGCTTTTCAGGATGTGGGGGCTTGCATCGCTCTGGTGTCGGTTCGTGTGTTCTACAAGAAGTGTCCACTCACTGTTCGCAATCTAGCCCAGTTTCCGGACACTATCACAGGGGCTGATACTTCTTCCCTGGTGGAAGTTCGGGGTTCCTGTGTCAACAACTCAGAAGAGAAGGATGTGCCAAAAATGTACTGTGGGGCAGATGGGGAATGGCTGGTGCCCATTGGCAACTGCCTATGCAATGCTGGGCACGAGGAACAGAACGGAGAATGCCAAGGTAAGAGCCGCCTCTACTGTACTTTTCATTAGGGCCGGGTGAACGTAATTAAATCAGAGATGAGGCTGAATGGAGCAAAGCCAGTAATTAGCAGCCCCAGTGGGATGTGCTGGGACAGAGGGATCTAATGGGTAAGTGCTGGAGCTCCAGGTGGCAAGGCTAAGACATTTCTAATACTGACAGAATAAACGATGCTGCTGTAATCAGCAGAAGGCCAAGCACATTTGCTAACAGGCACTTAGATCTGAGCCGGCTTGATGCCCCTTCTGAAATGTAAATGAGTGAGCTGAAGGAATGGGCTTGATTGATCCTTGTTTAAAGAGGGCAGACATGTTGAGCCATGGTTTTCCTGTCAGTAAACTTGGTAAAAATGCCAAAGATGGTGCATGAACCTGAAGGAGTTAAAGGGGGAAATTCACATGGATTCTTCCAGTTCCCTCCCACTGATTACAATTAAGCTGTGTGGAGAAAGATCTTTTGTTTCTCCTGCCTTACAGACCAACAGAGAAGTGGTTGGATGAAGTAGAGTTGAGGATGTTTGAAGAGCTTCTGTTCCACCCTAACACCCCTTGATCAGGTCTCTAAGCAGAATTAATCCTGACGAAAGACCTCTTCATTTCTCTTAGGAGATCATAATACAGTTAGTAGGTGTCTCCCTACTTGATCAGTAGTCAGAGGCACTAATAATAAATTGCAATCCATTTTGCTTATTGAAGTTTGGAAAAGAGAATGCATTTTTATAGTGTTAATTGCTATTTATCATACTGCTAAGGTAACATTTTTTTCTCACCTAAGGTTCAGCGTATGCATTTCATTCTCCTGCTTCCTCTTCCTGTCAGAACACTGGGGAGGTGGTAAAGGCTCTGGCATCAGAGCAGCATGCGTCTGAGTCAAGGCCAATCAAGCCCCTGTTTACAGGGCTTGGCCATGCCACCTATGGAATAAAATTTTGAAAAAAGTCAGTTATCCCGAGGTTTTTAATCTGACTTGGACTTAGTTGTCAGTGGTTATCAAGAGTCTGCTGCCGCCTACCCGGTTATGGTCCCTGCTAAACAACGCCAGTGTTGCTCTGTCACAGGGGCCCCAAATGTGGGACAGATCTGGTGAATCTTTTCTACTGACTCACTGCCTCAGGGTTCGTCCAGTCCGTGATTAAAGAGTCTGAAATAAATGACTGCCAAACAATTTGTCTGGCATCCCAGGCATCTTAATGATAGGGAGGGACTGAGTGTAAGACATCCACTTGCTGGACTAGAAGTCTGTGGTCATCACCTACAGAAAACTGCGTTTTGGGTAATTTTGGTGTCATGAAGTTTTTACACTTTCCCAAAGGCTCATGACTGGTTTGCTCTAGTTATTTTTAGGAGTGATGCTCAGAGACTGTCTTCTCGTTTCATTATCCATGAAACAGGGTAAAGATTGGTTGTCTTTCCTCTAAACCTGAAGTAAAAGACGAAACTAACTTGAAAATTTGCAAATTACACTGTGAAGTTTTCTGTAAAGATGAATTGCATGCTGTTTGCTTGCTTTGACTAGGCAACTACTTGCTAAGCTGTTCTCGGGTGAGATGCTGAAGTCTGTCCTGGCCTCAGTATGAGAAAAGACTTGTGTGCATGTTACTGATCCCTGACCTGCAGTGGTCAGAGCAGGGCAGTGAATACACAGGAGAGTGACAGTTACCTTCTGCTCTCTTGATTTCTGTAGAACAGGACTTGCATGTCTTGTCAGGATCCCCTTGTTTTTTGTAAAGTTGCCTTCCATTTCCTGCTAACCCTGCTAGCATCAGCTCACCTTCGTCTACCCAATACCGCTGATTTTTCGATGGTCCTAGAGCCTGGTACTCACACATTGTTCCACTGTGCAACTCCTTGACATCTTTACAACCCAAATTAAGAGGAAAAGAGAAAAAGATAGGGGTGGAGGTAAGGCAATTGAACATTTTGTGGTTTGCTTTATGGAAATGTTGGGTTCATCATGTGATTCCTGGAAGGGGAGGAGCTAGACTGTGCAGGTGCTGGCCAATCAGAGCAAATTGTCCGCAAAGACAACGATTGATGAAAGAAGGTTGAGTGTGTGTATATACACATGCAGAGGCCAAAGGAAGGCTTCTGGTGTCCTGTTCTGTCACTCTGCCTTTTCCCCTTGAGACAGGGTCTCTCACGGAACCACAGAGCTAGGCAGGTGGCCAGTAAGCCTCTGTGATCCACCTGTCTCCACCCCCAACAGCACAGGGGTTACAGAGGTGTGTGGGGGACACCTGGCTTTCTTATGGCCACTGGGGATTTGAATTCATGTCCTCAGTCACTTTCACCTACGGAGCCATCTCCCCAGCTTCTTTCTTTGTTTATTTGAGACAAAGTCTCATGGGTTTTTCTTTGTTTGTTTTTTGAGACAAGATCTCATGAGACTGGCCTCAAATTCACTGTGTAACTGGGGAGAGCATTGAAGTCCTGGTTCTCCTGCATCCCTCTTCTTAGTGTTGGGATTACAGGCATGCAGCACCACCCCCAGCAGCTGCCTCATTGTTGAGAACCCTCAGTGTTTTCACACAAACTACTCAGGGGAGGATACATTTTGCTTTTATTTTTTCCTCACCAAGGGGTCAGCTCTTTCAAGGAGATACCTGCAGTGCAGAACACCCTTTGTTTGTTTGCTTGGTTTCATTTGTACCAAGCAGAGTCTCTGGTGGATTTAAGAAGTACAAAATTGACAAGAGATTTCTTAAATTCCCAAGTTGAGTGAGATATTTAAAAGATGACTCAATACTGTGCTAACAATTTTAGGAGTAAAGAAAATGGTTGGCCTTGACATCATTACTGGTACCAAAGAAGCATCTGGGCACAGCAGAAGGAACGAGGTGACTAGGAAATGTATCTTGGGCTTAGCAGTATGATCTTGGGCATATTTCCCAAGCCTTCGGAATCTTGGTCTGTTCATCTATAAAACAGAGTAAGGGTTATACTTAACTCACAAACTTACCACGGAGACCCCGTGATTTAAGAGTAGTAAAAGTCACCTCGCAGATCGTAAAACCCTAAATAGCTGTGAATGCTAATGTTTCTGCTGTCACTCTTCTGGGGTTATAGCTTTTGACTTTGGGGGTGTTGGGCTGGAATAATTAAAGAGAGAAAAATCTCTCAGCCACTGTCTGAAGTCAAGGCTAAAGATGAGAAGCATCCCTATATCCTTGACAGCATCCCCTTATCACTTTTCATATTAAAAATATTTGGAGAGTGTCTCCTCCCCACTCCTCCCTCTCCCCTTCTGTTAACTTTACAGGAAAGAACTTTCTTTTGAATGAAACAAGTGATTTGTGGGTGGGACAAAAGGGAAGTGCAGAGAGAGCTTAAGGACAAGCATAAAGGAGATCAGGCCAGCTCTTCACAGCTGTGGCAGCAGGGTCCTCCCCGCTGTCTTTTCAACGGGCCCACTGTGGCAGGACAAATAGAAGGACAGGTGAAAGGTCATCTACTTCCTCATCCATCTTCCTTGGGGTCTGAGAGGTCAGAGTGAAGATTGATTAAGATCTTAAATGTTTGACAAAGGATCCTTGGGTAAAAATGGCCAGGGCCGGAGGGGAACGGGGTGTGCCGTTGTCTGATTCTAACCCTGCTCATCCTCCAGAGTCCTAGAGGGACCCTGGAGACAGTGCTACACTTCCTCTTGCAGTTCTTAGAGCCAACAGTGCTCTAAGTGCATGGTGATGTAAAGAGGGATGCTGGGCTGCCTGGAAGGTGTCAAGAGCCCTGGGAGATGCTGGGCTTGTCCCAAAGCAGCTGCAAGTTCATTGTGCTCTTGAATAGTGGGTTCTGAAACGATTTGGTTTGGTCCCACCAGGACAAAGAGGCATGTCAGCCACTTGTCTGTCCTCTCAAGGACACTATATGACCTGGTAAGCCATAGCCTAGGGATTGGATGTAGAGGATAACTCAACTGCCTTAGTCCATTTCCCAGGCCTTGCCAGACGATCAAAGAAAAGAATCAAAATCCAATGCGGTTTCCTCCAACATGTGGCAGGGTAGACACGCGCACAGGAGCCAGGTGTTAAGAGCTCAGAAAACTGAGCAAAGCAAAAGATTCTTTGCTAACTTTAAATAAAAAATTGTAATTAAAAAGCTGAAAGCTTGCCAGGCATGATGGCGCTAGCCTGTAGTCCCAGCACTTGGGAGGCAGAGGCTGGAGGATCTCATGAGTTCAAGGCCAACCTGGTCTGCATAGTGAGTTACAGGTGAGCTGGGGCTACAGGGAGACCCTGTTTCAAAAAGACCAAAAAAAAAAAAAAAAAAAAAAAAAAAGCTGAAAAATAAAAGGAGAGGACTATATTTATTCTTTGGGAAATATTAATATGCAACGTTTTCAGAAAGTATATATAAAAGAATATTAGTTAAAAGAAAACATTATAGATAGAGTTATTGCTAAAGGATCATACCTGTAATAAAATTTAGTTAGAAATCAAGCTTTGGCACAATATACCATTTTACTGGGCTGGGTATGCTCAGGATAAAGCACTGGCTCAGCACAAGGGAGATCCTGGGTTCCAACCCCAGCAATAAAAACAAATACATTAACAAACTAATGCACAAAGTAATACAAATATATATACATAATCTATGAATTGAAGCATTGACTAGGACCTACCTATATTATCATGTGTATAGTGTGTTCATGTCAGCAAAAAGATGCCATTTAAAGACTATCTTTTCAAAACCCTTAGGAATGAATGAGATAGAAAAGACTTGGTGTCTGAAATTGAAGTTTTAAATTTATACTCTGAAAAAGAGCCATGTCAAAAAGAACGAAGGATGGCTTTGTTTTTCTACGATATGATAGAAGGACTGTTGAAGAAAGAAACAGTGGACAGGACTCCTTTAAAATATAGTTCAGAGATACCCTATCTTTACCTTTTCACTTTTGAATTTTTTCTTCTACCTTTGAATTGTGTCTTTAAGAATCAATTGCTGGAATCATGAGGCTGCTTTTATCTCCAGCTTTGAAGCGTG